CTCCAACCCTTTTATTACCACTTAACAAATTGCCAATTCATTTGATTTTCACCTTTCTCACTTTGAGAGACACTCGATTGGAACGAAATCAATCACGAAAGTTTCCCAATTAAAGTGCATAATTATTACGATCTAAGCGGAATTTTTCCTTAGCGTTGGAAACGGTTTAATTTACGTTTGCAATGTTCATGCTGCTTTCGCAATTAGTATTCAAAACATTCGCAAATGAATGCTGTAATAGAAGCTGTAAATCGTGTTTACATTAAACCAAAATTTTATTTATTCATCTCTAGCGTAAACCTTTGGAGTAAAAATTAAATTTCCACTTTATGTTTGCGGAATTAACTCCGTGACCGAAATAAGTATGTTTCGTTACTAATGTGCTTATAAACGTTTGCAATCCTCTCTTCTTTAAATATTAGATTCTGTGCCAAAGTTAGGTCTTGTTTTATTTCTTGTCGTCTGCTTGAGGGGGAAATTGACCATTAGGCACCACATTTTTGTCGGGTGTGTTTTAGAAAAAAGTACGACACTTTTGTGATCTTATTTTCTTGATTATTAAGACACTAGGAGTTTTCTTCAGGATCTTCAGTACATTTTGCCACACTGAAAAAGTAACTGATGGAGACGTTGTTCATCTCCTTTAGGTATAATATTATGGATTGAATTTAATTTCCCCAGCCAACATTTAAAAGGCATTCTTTCATTAGAATAGCATGGGCTTTTAGGTCCGTGAAGTTGCTCCTGGAAGTTGAACCAATTGTGTCAATTTACAATGTACCTGTTAGTTTTTAGTTGGTTTTCATTAGTTTTGGCAAGAATGACGTTAGTTTCTCTTTGGTACTAATGTTATCCCAAAATCAAAATTGTCCGGGCGAGCTTCACATTTTCCGCGACATGTGCCAGAATTTTTAGTTCAGAGGTGATTTTGAATAAAGATGCGTTAGTTTCTGTAAGTTTTGATTAAACCGTCGTTTGTTTTCCCTTCTTTCTTGTTAAAAAAATTTTTTAATTTGTCCGGGAATACTTCACACTTCACTGGCAATTAGTTGAATTGTTAGTTTAAACACCATTTTCGATTGAATGGTGTTAGTTTCTATAAGTTTTCATAAAATCGTCGTTTGTTTTCCCTTAAATAATTGATTAATCGGCCAATTTATTAAAGCGTTAATGATATAACCGTCCATCAAAAGTCATTTGCAATTAGAGCTTGCTACATAAGACATGGCACTCATTTACAAGATATTGTTCACACTTAGCTAATTGTTAAGTGTGTGAGTAATGAGTTGATCTACAGTATCCAATAAAAATTTATAATTATCTTAAGCTTTTTCTGTGTTTTTCTGAACGTCAAATGTAGAACCTCTCGCCCCTAATCAACACATAGATTTCGACACGTTTGGTACAAACCATTGAGTATCCTAACCCCCTTCACTCAACGGTACAAATGCTTTATATTATTTTGTCACCAAGGAAGATTGAGCGTATCCCCATTTCTAGATGGTTGACAGATGGATGTACGGGCATCATAATTACAAATTGAAACTCAGGGTAGAGCCTTCGCTACCTAATAGAGGCAAATAAGCCACAATAAACATAATGAGTGAGTTTACACAACGTGAAACAATGTAAACTAGCAAAACACGCAAAATGAGGCTAGGATTGATGTTCTTTTTACCGATACTTGCCTAATTGCTCGCCAAACTATAGGTCTTCCGTTGGACAAATCGTTGAAGACTTCCCATTGTCCGTTGGCACGTCTTGTGAATGCTTCGTAATGACCCGGTAGGTAGGCAACGATTCCGGAAAGAATGTAATTTTTCCAGCGTATATTCTATGTCACTTTCTGCCTCTAGCTCTGGTACCGTTAGGTGATCGACAACTATGAAAAGATGATTTCCTAGCTCACATGAAACAGTTGATTGACTTTCACATGACAATATGACAATATCGATTTTTGCAGTGCAACAAAACCTTCTTTTAAGAGAATATTCATATTGCTTTCCAAAACTACCATT